TCTTCCGGCGCTGCTGTGAGTTTACCCTTGAGGCACTCCGCCAAGAGTCGTATAGCATCATGACCATCCTCGATGTTCTGCGCTATGATCCCTTGTACAGCTGGACTGTCTCGCCTCTGCGTATGAAAAAGATGCAGGATAATCAAGAAGCTGGCGATGGGCCTCCTCTACTGCCTGGTGCTGGTGTGGCTGATACCTCTTCGAGGAACGAGCCCAGTGAGGCTGATCGAGCCTTGACTGTAGTAGCCAAGAAGTTGAGTAAGACTCTGAGTGTCACCGCTACTGTCAATGAACTGATTCAGCAAGCGACTGATGAGAGGAATCTTGCTGTTCTATACTGTGGCTGGGCGTCTTATGCTTGAACTGATGTAAATAGAGTTTGTTAATGCGATTGGATATAGCATTTGCATAAAATACATAGTTAATGACCCCGAATATCTTTGGCATTCATTGACTATATTCAAGGAAGAAGAAGGGCCGAAATTACACTGGTCTGGAATGTGAGCCTCGTTCCCTGGCGATCCTCGATAATCCTCCTCCCAGTGGGAACCCAGGATGTATGCAATGGTATTGTAGCAGCTTTATGTAAGTTAGATGCTGCAAGCTAAGGAGTGGGTAGTAAACATGGTCAAGTTGATACTCAGTCATCCTGATAAGTGTGTGATCTCCCTCTGCTCGGTGGGTCCGAGAGCCTAAAGTATATGCCTCGGTTCTTGATGTAAATTACATCCGGGTTGGAGACCAATTACTTAGAACTTTGCTACTACTGCCTAGATGAATACCTACATGTAGGTATACTCCATGTAGGTAAACGTCCTGTAGGTATACGCCAAGTAGGTATACACCATGTAGGTATACGCCCTGTAGGTATACGCCAAGTAGGTATACGTTCCGTAGGTATATTCCATGTAGGTATACGTCCTGTAGGTATACGCCGGCCTCGCATAATGTGATAATTTTTATTGGTAGACTTCCTTCTGATGAGATGCCCAGCGTCTTGGCATCTGCTACTCATTTCTAAGACAATCTATCTAGATTCAAAATTGAAACAGCCCCGGGAGCCGGTATTACCCCTGAATAATGCATAACTAGGCTAGGCTTCGCCGAAACGCAGTCAGAATCCAAAATTACCTTGGCTCCCCAAATTCTTAGCACCAAACCTCGCCTAACTTGTCGCAAAATGTGACAGGAGCTTCTATCAGGTGGGTATATCAGTATTGCCTGTAAGTGCCAAGATAGATTACTTCAAGAAGACAGCTAAATTGCATTAAGTTAGCAGCGGCGATTACCTACTATAGAAGCTAGATTTACAAATAGTCACCTTATTCCATTGCAATAAATACCAGGGGATAAATATCTTTCCACTGAGACATCTTTGTGCATTCTTCACTCACCTCGTTCGCCATGGCTGTCAAACAGAGAGACCCTGCTGTGGCTGTACCAGCTAAGGGCGGCAAAGAGAATGGATCAACTACAGCAACGAAGTTCACTGATGGCGCGTCAGACGAGTTCGAGTTTGGCGGCTCGCTTGGTGCAATGCTATTGATTACTGGCTTCCCTCTGTTGATGTGGTACATGTGGATTGGAGCGACATACTACGATGGCATGCTCCCTCTGCCCGAGTCCAACCAGACATGGGCAGACTTTGGCCGTCACCTGTGTCAGTTGGTCTACGAGGGAGCCTATCCTACCGCAAAAGCATGGGCAATCTTCTGGACATTCTTTATCCTAGAGGCAGTCATGTACTGCTACATGCCCGGAGTTTCGAACTTTGGACGCCCGTTAAGTCACGAAGGCGGCAAGAGGCTTCCCTACTACTGCTCTGCATATTGTAGCTTCTATGCTACACTCGCCATCGCTGCTGTCCTGCATGTTACTGGCGTCTTCCCATTGTATACGTTGATTGATGAGTTTGGGCCTATCATGAGTGTTGCTATTCTGTCTGGTTTCCTAAATAGCTTCATCGTCTACATCCAAGCTATCGTCCGCGGACGAACCCACAGGCTGTCCGGCTCTCCCATTTATGACTTCTTTATAGGCGTTGAGCTGAACCCTCGTATTGGTATTTTGGACTTCAAAATGTTCTACGAGGTCCGGATTCCGTGGTTCATTCTGTTCCTTATCACCTGCTCTGTGGCTGCTCGCCAATACGAAAGTTATGGCTATGTCTCTGCGGAAGTGGTTTTCTTGGCTGGAGCTCATTACTTGTACGCCAACGCTTGTGCTAAGGCTGAGCAGATGATTATTACCAGCTGGTGAGCCAATCATAACTATAGAACAATGCTCTCAGCAAAGCTCACACTAAACAGGGACATGTACTTTGAAAAGCTGGGCTTTTTGCTAACATTCTGGAATTTGGCCGGTGTGCCCTTCAGCTATTGCCATTGTGCACTTTACTTGGCCAACCACCACCCGTCCGAGTATCACTGGAACCGTTATGCCCTGGCAGCATTCTCCGCTCTGTACATCTTCTTCTATTGGATGTGGGATAGCGCAAATGGCCAGAAGAACGCATTCCGTCACAAGGCAAAGGGCCAGCTCGTTAAGCGGAACACTTTCCCTCAAGTGCCATGGCAGGCTGTTGAGAACCCCAAGACAATCGAGACAGATACCGGCGATCACATCATGGTTGATGGCTGGTTCGCAATTATCCGAAAGCCGAACTATGTCCCTGACATGTTCTTTTCTATGTCTTGGGGTCTGATCACCGGTTTCAAGTAAGAAATTTTTAGGTGCTAAACTATGTCAAAGAACTTGCACTAATTTTCTATTGATAGGAGCCCATTCCCTTGGTTCTACTTCATCTTTTTCATGGTTATGATCATCCACCGCACCAACAGGGATATCAGCAGATGTCGGAGAAAGTACGGCGAGGCTTGGAAGCGTTATGAGCGAGAAGTTCCGTACTTGTTCATTCCAGTAAGTTCATAATGGCAATCCGGGATAGTGAAAGTTCTTTTTTCGCTGACATTTTCAAGTATGTAATTTAATTGGAGCGCCGACTCGGCATTCACGGCTCTCCTTTTCTTTTCTTGAACAGGTCCTGGGTCTCAAAATTCCCATTGTCATGCGGCTGTCCTGGTACGCATGCAAGCTGGGTTCGATAGGAAATTTCTGGATGTTTGACCAAGGATTTTCATGCTACCTTCTTCTCATTTGGGTTCTCCGTTATCTATGCATGTATCAGCCTGTGCGGTCTTTTGTAATAGCATATCTCATAGACGGATAGAAGGATTCGAGACGAATAGGTTATGGTTTTAGATCAGCGCTCCGTCTCTCTTCATCCGCCCTCCGCACGTTGATGTCTCGATAGAATTCTATCTGCCTGTCAATGATTAGATCAATTTTTCCCCCGTTTCTTAAGTCTCACAATCGATGAAACCGTCACAGCCCTCACAAAAGACATCGCCTCCAACTTCGGTCAGCTTTTAGGCATCAGATTGAGTATAGACGTCCGATCTTGCAAGCACAAAATGTAGCCAAAACTTCCTCCAGTTTCTCACAATTAGCGTAGTCTCCTCCGTTTTTCCATGACTTCCAAAGCCGAATCTGCTTCTTGCTTTCTCCATCGAACGACGTTTTGTTTTCGATTTCATCGCGAGTATCGAGGACCGGAAGTGACTGCACGTAGATTATCTGTCATTTGTAGGTCCAGTTCCATTAGTCCTAACAGACCGTACAGATCTAGGGACATGGATATAAGGAAATTTGTCGTCTTAAGCTCTTTCGATTGAGCTCATGTGGCAAATTGTAAACTACAGGCGGCCACACGCCTACCACCACTGGCTTTGAAGATCAAAAGCGGGCAGACCGCTAATCAACAAGAAAAGAAGGCTACTTGTCGCTTGCCCGCAAGAAGTTCCCATCCAGTCGCCGCTCTCCTGGTTGCAATGCTGCAAAAGACACTCGGGCTCACGGCCTCTCACGTTCCTGTAGCTCCATCCTTGACTACAAATACGCAGTTAATAGAAGCATGGGCTGTTTTATATCACTTTGGGCAGGGAGTTAGGCTATCGATCGCTCACGTTTCGTCGTCGCTAGTTCTCCAAGCACCTGTCTCTATCAGTAGCCTGGCTCTCGTAACACTTTTGAAAGCAAACCGGACTATTCTGTAGCGTCTCCGGTTGGAACCCAATCGTCGGAAACAGATGATGTCTGCAATCAAGATTTATCCCTCCTGTTGCCATTTCCATCGATACTTGATTAGTATCGGGACGGAAGCCTTGACATGTCACGTCTTTAGGAGGTAAACGAAAAGAATGGCGCCGAGGGATGTGCGAGACGCTCGTAAGGGACATGTCAACCTTGTTAGCAGGGGCATCTCGAGGCCGGAGGATCATTAAAAGAGACGCAGACCAAGAGAACGCTAGGCGGGTTCAATGCAGATGGTGCTTATCCTTCGAAGGGAGATGGGTACTGATGGTAGCATGTTGCAGAAGAATGGTGAAAATCGATTGATTGCTATGCGAGAAGAAAGATGTCTCTTTTTCGCTACACGTCTCACTAGAACATGTCCTCACTTGTCCGCATGGTGGCTCTGCACTCCCTGTCCTACAAGATCATTCGCAAGACACACTTTGGAGTAAATAACTCAACACCACTAGACACATTGACCACGTCAAGGACACTCACTATCAGCGTACTACACGTATGTCCTGTTGTCTATGCAGTCTCTTCTGCTCCGGTTAAAACCGTGTCTCTCTGCTCCAGCCACAACCACAACCACAACCACAAACCAGGCACGCCCATGCAGACTTGCATTTTGAGATCCACATCCTGGTAAGCCTAATCGTGCTAGTTCTATTCAGAATTTTCTCCTGTGCTTGTTCCTTTGCTAACATTCCGAGCGGGTGGTTTTGTATGTGGCATAGAATCATAGCCAAGCTTCGTACTCAAACGCTTTATCCTCCCCGACCCTTCTACGGCTTCAGTTTTATCGTATCCCTATCTTTCGGTCACGTTCCCATTATTCCTAACTCCTTTCATCGAAATCCACAATCATGGCCAAGAAAAAGGTCGAGTTCTTCTTCTACGATGAACAGAAGCCTCGAGACGAAGAAACGTTGCGTGCAATCACCCATCTAGCCTATCACGCTGCGTCCTCGCTCAAGATCTGCCCCCGGGCAATCTTCGTCAGGTCAGTCTGTCCCTTATCATATACTTCATCCTTGGAGGATTTTATGGGCCTCAGACTCCAGATGGTATTAGTATCGTCCTGACAAGCTTCGACTTTCTAGATCTGGTGTGCATTGCACCACAAGAAAACGAGACAGGATTCTTCGTTAAGGACCCCGCAGGATCGCACATAACGCTTAATATCAAATCGCGCCACGCATGGCACGGGAAATATTCCTTTACGACGCACGCCTACGTCGTTTCTGACCAAGATTGGACACTTATTTGGGCAACCATCGCTCGTCAGAAGCCCGACCAAACGGATTGGCAGGATATTCCCGGTGTTTCCTCAATGCTGGTCAAAAAAGACGAGTTCCAATGAAGAACCTTTTCTGACCAGAGTTGAAAAAATGCGGAGATCCATTTAGAAAGCAATGACAAACCCAAAGAAAGACCCCCAAAACATTTGGTGTGAGTGGCTGGAAGCCTCCCAGTCAGGATACAATTTGGAAAGATCATGATCCAGCTCTGGACAGGTCCAAGAAACGGGAGACATTAGGCAATTTGGGTAATTGGGAAGGCCCTATGTTCTCCACCAATTGGTTTCAAAATGAATCTTGGCTTTGACCAGTGACAGATTATTCTTTGCTGAAACATCCGTAAAATCTGACATGCACTTGTAGAGACTGTTCAATGTAGAGGGTATGGTGGATATCTGGGGAAGTTTGCCCGGTTTATTGTATCCACGGATAGTACAAGAATGACTGTAGGTATTAGATTCTCGTGATATTCATCGCTTTTCCATTTAGGTCCATAGGGAGAGGTAGATATAGATAGTAAACCTTAATCAGTAAGTTATATTCGGCACTGGCCAATGACAGCTGTCAAAGCATACTAGGGGACCTTGATGGAATCTCCTATCTATATCCTGCAGTTTACTATTTTGTCCCTATCAAATACCGTCCAAAAAGGCTGTTTGTCTTTAGTGAATGCATGAAGCCAAGTATAGCGACCGAGGTTGGGTTCCCGACTCCACATCCCCGCACTATGTGGAGCTACATGTAAAAGTTATGATGCGACGTCGCATGTTCCGAGGCATAACCGACTGTGCATAGCAGCAGTGCACCGAATGCCAATCATCCGTGGTTCCGATAACGCCTCTACATTCGTCCCCTCTTTCAACGTGGGATTGCTAAATACCGCTCCCTTCCGCTCTCAGTTTCCTCTTGCAAGCATTTCTCACACTTTGCACTACCTAACTGAATTTATCTATATTTATTTCCATTCCCTCTATTGCTTGTCAATAACCGGATCGCAATAGCAATGACTACCACTGCTATCGAAGTCCCCAAGAAGCAGAAGGCTGTTATCTTTGATAAGCCTGGCACAGTCTCGACTCAGGTCGTAGAGATTGACGTGCCCGAGCCTGGTGCCGGTGAGGTTCTAATCAATATGTTTGTCTTCTCCTGCCTACTGGTTCTAGTGAATACTAACGAAAATTTCAATAGAACCCACTCAGGCGTGTGCCACTCTGACTATGGCATCATGACCAATACCGTAAGGGCGGATTATCCGTTTTTGAACCAGTGAATCCCAACTAATTTTCCCAGTGGAGCATGCTCCCATTCCCAACCCAGCCAGGCCAGGTAGGCGGCCACGAAGGCGTCGGCAAGATCGTCAAGCTCGGCGCAGGCACGGAATCCTCAAACCTGAAAATCGGCGACCGAGTCGGAGTGAAATGGGTCTCTAGCGCATGCGGCCATTGCCGTATGTTCCCCACCTATACCCCCTTCTAGGCAGAAACAAATAGCGACTAACATCCATCTCAAAAGAACCCTGCCAAGCAGGCTCTGACGGACTCTGCTTCAACGGAAAAGTATCCGGCTACTACACCCCAGGAACATTCCAACAATACACCCTGGGACCAGCAAACTACGTAACCCCAATCCCAGACGGCCTAGACTCGGCCGAAGCAGCGCCAATGCTATGCGCCGGCGTAACCGTATACTCAGCTCTCAAGCGCAGCCATGCCCGCCCAGGCCAGTGGGTGATAATCTCCGGCGCCGGCGGTGGACTAGGCCACATCGCCGTGCAACTCGCCAGCAGGGGCATGGGCCTACGCGTCATTGGAATCGACCATGGCAGTAAAGAAGAGCTAGTTAAGGAATCCGGCGCGGAGCATTTCATCGATATCACCAAGTTCCCCAAGGACGACAAGGGCGAGGCATTGACGAAGCATGTTCAGTCGTTGACGGATGGGCTGGGTGCTCATGCTGCTATTGTGTGTACGGCTGCGAATGCTGCGTATGCTCAGGCTCTGCCTTTGTTGCGCTTTAATGGTACTCTTGTCTGTGTTGGTATTCCCGAGAATGAGCCGCAGGCTATTGCTACGGCGTTCCCTTCTACTTTTATTAACAAGCATGCTACTATTACTGGTTCGGCGGTTGGAAACCGCACTGAGGCTATTGAGACTATGGATTTTGCTGCGAGGGGGATTATTAAGGCGCATTATCGGACTGAGAAGATGGATGCTTTGACTGGGGTCTTTAAGGAGATGGAGGAGGGTAAGTTGCAGGGTCGGGTTGTTTTGGACCTTTCAGGATGAGTGATATATATGTATTTAAGGTGTATTATGGTAGCTTCCATCTTCTTTATATTCATGGGATGATTTATGCTTATTTGAAGAAATTTTTCTACTAGGAATTCGATCTCGTGGTGGTCGTGGTCCGTACTTGGATGTATATATTTCCACTAACTAGCGACATGCATCCTAAAATTTCTTAAGTTGATTTTTGTTACACTATTATGTGATGAGACTTTTCCCCTGTATAATCTAGCAAAAAGTATATATTTCTGTTTATTAAAAACTTCGAAATAGAACAAAAAGGATGTCATGGTTCGTCCCACATGAACAGGACAAAAACAAAAAAGAATTGACCGACGCAGGGGTCGAACCTGCAATCTCTTGATTCGTAGTCAAGCGCCTTGCCATTGGGCCAGCCGGCCTCCTTGTTAAAGAAAGCGGACAGAAATGGCAATATTAGCCAAAACAGGCCAACCGAGATCATGCGCAAATGTTATCTCTGAACTGATCTCCCATCAGGGCTATATACACGAACAAACACGGGATATATATACTTAAACCGATCCACCACTGAAAAATTTATGCTCTGAACGCAATGCATCCGCATCGTTCAGCTCGAACCCGAAATTCCACAGCTTCTCTACCTCCGACAATTCGCCTTTGCTCTTATGTCTCAGCAGGGTGTTGGTGTCCTTGTTCACACCCTTTGAGCTTCTCCGCCCAGCATGCTGCATAATAATAGGAGTCACCGCCCAGCGGATCTCATTTTCCGCATCGGCAAACTCCTCCGTTATTGTATCCACATACCCGATGTGCTTTGACTGATACAAATCAACGAGATCCGGGACCCTTGAACGCGGAAAGACGAAAGCCTGCGAGCAGCAGCCAAAGCGAGGCATCTGGTGTACACCTTGCTGAATAGGAACCATTGATACACGACCAGCAGCAAAGAATAATCCGATCAGGAGAGGCGTGCAGATGCCGCTGAACATAAAAATGGTCCTAGTTGAGAGTCGGGAGTGGAGGCGAGGCTGACATTGTCGTGCGCCCGAGCAAGCGCATGCAACTAGACAGACCGCGAGGATTGAGTAAGAGAGGAAGATCGGCCAGTCTTCGGAGTTCCAGCCGAAGAATTCCTCCGTATAGAAGAGGCGGAGATACAGCCCTAGATGAAAGAGTTGCTGGTTAGCTATTTGAAAATGGCGCGGAGTTGAGGGTCCGATTCCAAATGTGGCAAAAACTCACATTTTGATGCACCCAAGGCCCTGGTCTGCTGTTCAGCTGATGCCAAAGCACCGATGGTTCGGTGATACCAACCATCCATAGCCACGACATCGTCCTCGAGGATCATGGTATACGGAGCATTCACTGCTTCGCATGCCTTCAGAAGATATGTATAATCAAAAAGACCCTTCTCACGCCCAAAAGCCTTTGCTGCATCTGTCTCGAGGGATCGAACGTGATCGATGTCAACCTCCGCGGGATCGTACAGCAGTACCTGGTCTGCCAGCTCATGAAGCCAAGGTTCCTCGTAGGATGGATGCTCCGACGGATCGGTATGCGCAATGAAGAGAATCAGATGGATATCGGCACGTTCGGTGTTGCTTAGTCCCTCCAAAACCGTGCCGACTGTGCTCTGGAAATAGCCGACACCATATCTGGCGACCGATGCGATCCCGATACACAGGTCAGGCTCAGATGAAGACTTTGTATTTGCGGTAGTCTCATTGTTAAAGGATTCAATATATGAATCTCCCTGGCCGATTCTCACAGATGAATAAGAGAGGTCGTATGCGGTCCAAGGGTCGAAGAATGCTGAGCCCGGGTCGCGAAAGCATCGCGCACGTGCGTAGAAGATGAGAAGAATATAAAATACAAGGAATGAAATAAAGAGTCGAAGTGTGTTCGAGGCTGTCCTTGGCTCTATTGGCCGCCCTGGAAGCTTCTTGCCAAGGTCAGGCATCGCAGTATCGTGAAAAGTGATCTGGTGAGAGATGAAACTCCCAGTGGGAAGAATCCAAGTCCCAAAGGGAAGGCACAATTGGAGTGCCCTGCATTTTTGTACGGGTTTGCTGCATCAATGGGGAATCTGTAATGTTCATAGGGAAGGGGCCATCATCCCTGCGACTCCCTACGGGCCCTTTGACGTATGTCCCGCCGATCTTCACCCGGGTAGGATTTTATGGAAAACGATTGTGATAGATCAGGATATTCTTAAAGTGACATTTATTGCATAGAGCACTTGCGCTGAGAACTTGACATGAAAGGAGCTAAATATCAGAAGAGATTCTTACTCTGGAATTACAGGGCTACAATCGCGGCACGCCTCTAGGAGAATGCGTAAAGCTTCATTCCTCCATACGTCAGATAAAGCCTTGGAATCTTGGCACTAGGGTCTGGTAAAGCCTAGAGCAAGGTGTGCACTTCCTTTTTCTATATAGGCACAGCAAGTCACAAGGGACATTGAACCTCCCTGGCTGACTTCTCTCCATGATAATGACATACATATCCCACTGTTAATACTGGAGTGACCCGTAGTCCGAGCGCTAAGCTTATTCATAGCTCGGAAAATCATACAGTATGCAAGGTACAATCAGATTATGCATAATATTCCAAATATAGATCATCATATCTGTTCTTTTATACTCAACTCCTATGAAAAAGAAGATAAAACGAATCATATCCTCGCGATAAAAACAAGCAGGAAGGCACTATTTGGATCAAGTACATGGCAACAATGGCGAGAAACAACCAAGATAGAGCTTCAGCTGGAAGGAGTGTAGGGTTATATCGAAATCAATATCCTGAGATAGCCAATGCACCTATCTAACTCACCGTGAGGCTCTGAATAGAACTTGCTCCATACAATTATTAGACTTGCGGTCACTGATCCCATGGCTCACGGGCTACCCCGGATTGCCTGTTTGGGCCGATGTGGCCATTTGGCGATATTTTTCCAACTTTAGGAGGGAGCAATTCAGTGGACCAGAGAAAGATGCGCCTAAAGTCGCGTCAGGTCGAATTTAAGGTATTTTAAAGTATTTGCTATGTTTGCATCTGCCCCCATCAGTCGCGTGTCACATTTCAACCGACGTGGCAATTTCGCGATGTTTTCCCAACTTTGGGAGGGAGAAATTTTGGTGATGAGCTAATCTCAATACGCGTCAAGATAGAGTTTATTTCAATCTAATCAGTTATCCAGATTGAACTTGACCCCGGACTACCCCGGATTACCTATTTATGCGACGTGGCTATTTCGCGATGTTTTCCAACTTTTGGGAGGGGAAGAATTCAATGGCTGACATAACGTCGCGTCCATTCGACCTGAGTCGCGTCAAGGAGGATTTAAAGTTATTTAAAGTATTTGCTATGTTTGCATCGACTCTATCAGTCGCGTGTCACGTCTAAACCGACGTGGCAATTTCGCGATGTTTTCCAATTTTTAGGAGGGGAAAAATTCAACGGCTGACATAAAAATCGCGTCGAAATCAGTTTGAGTCGCGTCAAGGAGAATTTATAGTATTTAAATTTCTTGGTTCTGATCTTAGACAGCCTATTACGGTTGACGTGGCTATTTCGCGATGTTTTCCAAACTTTGGGAGAGGGAAATTTAATGGCTGACATAAAAATCGCGTCTTACTTAGTGACCTTGAGTCGCGTTAGGTATAAAACATGTGATTCTCTCGGCTTGACCTATGACCACGTATTCAGACGACTTGAGCTCACCTAAATGATCTATAAATATGCTGAGCAGGTCCTCGAATTGCAAGTCTTGCAAAACGAGTTAGCCCTGTTAACTACACTCTCATACATAGGAACCGTCTTATCTGACTGAAGAACTAGAGCGAACTTTCGGCAGTTGAGTCTCTTGCTGTGAATTTTATGAAGCCATGGTCTGGAATGGGCGTTCATTCTTCGCATTGATGTTTCTATGGTCGAAATCCGTGAATCGATTGCCATAATTCTCCCAAAATCCGACTGAGCAATGACTGGCGTGCCAGAGCCAATATTCCATTTGGATTTCGATACTAAAAGCTTGCTGTTCTCACTCGAAGACTAGAACTACGTCTGTATAAATCTGGCCCGACAGTGCAACAACTTGATACTACACTAACTATTTGCTCCGCAGTAGTAGAGACAAGACGCCTACGATAGAACATCAGCTTCATCTCACCGTACATGTACAACCAATCCGCAAACTATCTTGAAACCCACCATCCGAGCAAACCCGGACATCCAAAACGAACGCTCGTAAACTCCCGTAGAAGTCATAAAAGATCCCCACCCCAAGCATCCACCCTACAAGCTAACAAGCACTAGAAGCACTAGCCCAAATGCCATGCAAAACCATCCAGAAACAAGCAGCCGTGTGCACGGATCACAACGCAGACCAAGCAATCCCATTGACATTCATCGGCCCAGGCTCGGCTGGGATCCGAGGCCCATCCGAGTCGCACATCACACAGGCCACGTTTTCCAAATATTCGCCCGGACCCGCAATATCGCATAGCGTCGAAATAGTTCCCCACGCGCGCGGGAAATACAGTTACTTTACTCCGTAGTTATAGTTATTGTGGGCGCATTAGTGAACCTTCATTGAAAACTGTGCCCTTTGGCCGTGTACTGTTGACACTGGTGCGTTACTCTAATTCCAAGTCTGAAGCCAAGACCATGAGCCAAAATGTTCAACTGCCGAGCCGAGCATACCCGAGATCCGAGTGTATACAGATAATCAAGCGACTTTCGGAAGGTGGTTCCTGGACCGTCAAGTTATTGGTGTAATCTTCGCTCTGCAGGGTCTGTTTTTATTTTATTGATTTCTTAAAATCACGGATTACGCGAATATTGGAGGTCCCCTTGTGTGGGCGACCCACTTTTTGATTAGTGTTCCATGGGTTGCCTATCCAAATCGGGTTAAAGTACTCTTGAGCGGCGGCAGTGACACGCCCGGCTCATTTTCCGGACCATGGATGCAGGGCTCCCAAGACCACAGTGTTGGGTTTGGGTGACGACATGCCTCATAGGACTATATGATCATGGGATATGATGTTTCTGGGGCAACCCGAACTTTATGTGTGATAGTTTGCGATCTACCACTGGTAATGGGAATATACATGTAATGGCTATGTAATAGCTGCGTATGATTGTGGCTATGGAAGAGATCACGATCATGGTACATCAAACCTAAGTATAGTAATGAGATGAACGATATGCAAAACGAACTGCAATGATGTCGCTGATAGGGAAAAGATGCAGGGGGGTATTGCAATGAATGAACACGATGGCCTCCCAGAATATGAAACAAACGTATAAAGAAATAGAACCAAACAAATCATCGGGTTCGTTTCGAGTAACCTCCTGAATTCCCATTGCCGGCCGGCCGCTTTTGTCCTCCAGTTGTAGTATCTGGAACGTAGGATTCAGCGATGCGAACTATCGATTCCAGATGAAGGCGAAAGAGCTTGGGGGCACGTCGTTCGGGACCGATCTTGTTGAGGATGCCGCGCAGCGGCCCAGCGACAGGGTGGAGGTCGGACGGCGGCAATTCATCAAGCGCGCTGAGAACAAAGTGCCGCGCGTCTGGATCCGATTCAAGTTCGTCCGACCCAATGAGCAAATGGAACAGATTGCGCTGGTCCTCATCCTCGCCGTTGAAAGAGTCCCGGCCTAAACGATTTCCTAAAAGAGGATCATAATTGCGACCGACGACTGAGTCCAGGACCAAAACGAGGGCTTCGACGGCGGCTTCGGAGCTGTGTGGTGCGCGTGCGGACATGTTGGTTATGATGCGGAATACTAAACGCTGCAGTTGCGAGACAATCTCGTGAGGCTCAAAAAGACCCAGACTTGGGCCCACGGGCTCTGCGGGCAACTCGCCTGTTTGGCAGTATCGGTCAAAGTCATCAAGTAGGCGTCGCGAGTGTTCCTTCGCTTTGTCGAAGTAGATGGCTGCACAAGCCTCGACAGGCATCGCTTTGCACAGACTGTTGAAAACCCCGTCGTCGTGCACTCCCAGCCGGAACATTGTTGCCTCGAAATCGCCCTGTACCACGCAAGCCTCTGCTGTCCTTGCCTGCTCAGTCGTCTCTGTCAAGTCCTGGCGGAAGTCCTCCGGAAGAGTCTTTTTGCTAAAGGCAGAGAGGATGTCCCGTACTTTTTCTGTTCGCGTCATTCCTCTACCTGTACTGTTACCCTCATCCCGTAGGTACTGCCATTTGAGATGCTTCGCAACTGCCTCCAGATTACCCTTGAGAAGGCCCTCAATAGGCGGCAGGTTGTGCGGGCGTCCGTCTGAAGCCAGTGCTACCTCTGTCGACTCGGGCTTCTTGAGGAAGCAGCCGTGCAGTTGATCGAGGAGCCACTGTTTAGGGGGTAAGAGGCAGTATCAGCATCGATTCGAGACTTCCAAACCTAATGGTTTTCGAGACAGTCACACTCACAAAGATGTGCTGGCACGGCTCCTCTGGGTGATCCTTAAAGACAGAGCAAGTGCAAGTGGTTGCCTCAGAGCCAACGTGCACCTGTGGCCGATCCAACAGCTGGAGGTCATGTCCGGTGGGAGTCACCCGACAGTTCACCTCGAAATGACTGGTCAAGCCCACCAAGGCCCTGGCTTGAGACTCGGATTCTAGTTCGCTCAGGTCGTAGGTAATCCCAGATGGTGCGCGGACGGCCTCGTGAGTTGATTCGGATTCGTCTTCGTCAGTGCTCTCATCCCCCTCTTCCTCGTCCACCCCTTCTTCACCGGAGCTCCCCTCCGACGAGGCTTCGCTGCCCTGGTCACTGTCGTCGGAAGGGTCCGGCGGCCCCGCGCGAGGTCTCACTTGGGCCGTATCTGGCATATTCTGACCGATGCACAACTTGTGAAATTGTCGAGTTGGGGCAGACATGGCCAAAGGCGAAAAAGGGGGACCCTCCAAATCGCCAGAAATCAAGGGGAGAAGGCGAACAGATGTGTTTTGTGGACTCTCGTAGACTCTCAGAGTTCTTCCGACCCATGGACGGAAGCGGGTACTCTGAACCATGGAACGGGGTTCCCTGGCGCCCGCTTTAAATAATTAGTCACGTATGATTTTCATTCTGTGGACAACGTCGCGATGTGCTTTGACTGCCGAGGACTTTTTTTACCCTCCCAACGGCGCTTAGTGGGAGTGGCGAAGAGGGGGGAGGCTCAATAGGCTAGGTGATGTTCTAACAAGGTCGCGACGTTTAATTATGCCCTATATCAACCGATCAGCATCCAGTGCACAGACACTAAAAGGATCTGGTGGGAGGAAAGATCTGGGGTCTTGGTGGCTGGGATCCGAGCACAGATTGTCGGTGGCTCCGAGATGGCTAAATGGGTCTATGACACAGAGCCTTGCTCAAAGACACTGCGCACATCCCATGCATGTCACGGGAAAGGAGTGTAGCTGAAAATCAAGATAAAGTTAATAGCGGTATGATGATCTGCGAGGCCCCGAGTTGACTGGTTCTACAGTTAGCCAGCGCAAGGTTTGCGTAGCGTATTCTGTGTAGACGCTGTTGGCACCGATCGTAATCTCTGCACCACAGTAGAGAATGACGAGGATCAAATGCCGCAGGCGCAGGAATTGGAGAGACAACCACTAAAAATCAGTTAGGCATGCTGCCCCATCCGAGATGATGCAGGCGCAGTAGAAGCGCAGCAAAGCGATCGCCGCCCGAGCAACCGAAAGCGAATTCGAAACTCTCTGGAAGCTCCAGAATAACGGCATTTGGACCCGCCATTTGGCCCATGCTCCTTGGCCAAGATTGCACCCTTGTCTTTCCATGGTGGAGAATAAGAAGCTATGAGTTTCGGATACGTCGGGGAACCCGAGGCTCTTTTTTGTTTCTGCGACAACTGCATCAAAGAAAAATAATAAAGATCAAAGGTCCCCACAGACCCCGGCCCTTCATTCAATACACGTGGTCGAATGTGACGTGACGTACGTTGACAGCGAGACAACTGCCCAAACTTCTTGATCGACAAAGAAAGTAATCTGGAGATCCAGGGATGGCACAGCCGAGGAGAAAGCTATAGACGCCCGCAATGCCTTGGTATCATTATCGAAGGAACGTTGGTGATAACAAGGGCCTGTCTTGCGTATCGCGCAGTGTATCGGCAGTGAATCACCGAAGGATAGCCGAAGCGGCCCAGAAGACGACATGTCAAGTCCTCCCCCCGGAGCATCCTGCGCAGACTGCAGCACCATGTTTCAGCCGCAGGCTTCGGTTTAAGGATCGATATCATCGTATAGTACAGTGGGCGGCGAATCCGAGCGCTGCGAGCAGGGAGCTGTGCACAGCACGACCCGCTGGCCTGGGCATTGGGTCTGGAGGTAATCCTCGATCCCTGCATGTGGATGCGGTCCAAGCACCAGGTTGCACTCTAATCAAGCTGTTGAGCTGCGGTAGACACTTTTGGCTGCGCAACTGCTGATCGGCAGCAACTGGCGTTTGGGTTTCTGGCTTCGCTATCGGCTGCCAATGGCCATCCATGGGCGCCTAAAAGTGTGCCTTGCTCTGCGCATCCGATCAGGCTCAGCGCGGAGAAGGTTACTTTCTCTTTGGGTTTGGGTCTCGTCGAGGGTTCGATGATATCGTCTGTGCGTTCTTTTCTTCCTGCACGTTAAATCACTTGACTTTGGCCCCCATTGCGCAGCTACAGCAGAAGGAATAGGTCAACGCTCAAGGCATAGGGAGACTCCAGTTTTGATGGATAAAAGCGAGTTTGCTTGCAAGGATCAGAGGAGAGTGGTGAAGTTGAGGTGCAGTGGTCTGTAACAGGAGAATCTTTGTGTAACGTGGGGAAAAAGCATCCGAACTACCAAGGCTGGCATGCGAACTACGACATGCTTCGGCTTTCCGGAATGAGTGGACTTTTGGAAAAACGAATAACCTTGTGTGTAATTTCTAAAGGGAACTATGTAAACTATGACCAGAACGGTTTATATGCACGGAAATACTCCGTGGTAGGTTGTTGTGGGCGTGGGAAAATAGGGAAATAGTCACTTCACCCTAGTCTTCATTCAACTAGTTCTGCAGAAAGTGGGTATTCACCATGAACGCATCTGTCAGACGAACATGACAAGATCTCAAACCGAAAAGAGACAACAAAAGGGTATACTAAATACTAAAAAAATCGTTGCTTCATGAATGTGCCCATAATTGTTTCCAAGTCACAAATAGACACCAATTTAGAGAAAACCTCAATGATTACCTCTGCTGGCATTACGCTTCTTGGCTTCTTCTAGCGCTCTGCGAAGTCTCTCTTTGTGCTCCGAGTCTTCGTCCGCATCTTGAACCACAACTTTTGGGCTTGATGCGGAACCAGGAACAACAGTGGAAGGGCGCAGAATTGGAGGCAAGGGCACGTCCGTAATTGGAGTCGTTGAGGCAGAGCGGCGCTCAACTGGAGAGACAGGAGCCACGGCTGGAGGAGCATTCTTTAGATCAGAAAGAAGGCGCTGAAGAGTGGACTCAATGCGCACAGGCCCCTTCTGGATGCTCTGCAACTTCGAGTCCAAATCTTTCTGAAGAGCATCATCTTCTTTTTTCTTCTCATCCCTGAGCCGAAGGAAAATATCCGGGTCCGAGTTGGCATACCGTGCCTCGGCGACGGAGACCCCGTAATCGGCGTCGTTGAGGGCCATGTCCGCAACACCCGAGCTGCGAAGAATTGCCTCTGAGTCGGCGCGAAGCGACGCTACAAAGGTCGCCGCGGACTTGAGAATCTGTTCAAGTTCAGAATCAGGGAGACCGGAGGCACGGAGGGCGGCGAGATCTAGCTGGGCTACTTTCGAAGCAACCTCATCTAGGAGGCTCTGATTCATACCTAGCCCGTGTAAGATTGCATCGTCGAAGGAATCCATGAGTCGGTTGGCTCGGTCGTCCCGGTCCTTGCACGCCTCCAGAATGTTTCGCCGTTCCATGTGATCAAATTCTCCATCGAGTTTTCGCAGACTAGCCATATCGCCCATGAAAACAAGTGGTCGCCGCTCAGCCTTTTTGCGCCGCCGCTCACAGTCAAGCGCGATTTCGAGACGTTTTTGGAACCGGATCTCGAGTTTGTTGTGGATGTCATTGACCATGTTCATGGTCACAGACGGGCTGCATTGCTGAGTTGGCGAGCCTTTGCTTTCCTGATCACGGTCAAGCTGGCTGAGAGCAGAGTCGTAGGATTTGCGGAGCGCCGAGATCGCCTCTTTCAAACCTTCATCCAAAGGATTGAAGACTTGCTTTGTGAAATCTTCTACTTCGCGTCGTTCCTCTTCCAGCTGGACCCGAGCTTCAGCTTGCCGGAAATCTTCTTCCAAAGTATTGATATCCGCGTAACCAATCTCCTTCCCATTGAAGAGATCATCAATATGCTCCTCTGATTCCTCCTGGCGAAGTATACGCTCTTGGTCCAGTTTCTGTCGTCGGGCTTGTGCAGCTGCTTCCCATCGATCGATTGTGCGCTGGATGTAGGTAAAATCATCGGGGAACTTGTCGAGTTCCTCCCGAGTTGTGATATGCCACGAGTTTTCAGATTGCTTGTCTAAAGGTGTCCAGATCATAGTGCGTAGCTCTTCTACAAGGCTGGTTGGCCGGCCCTTTCGTAGAGACTCCGGCAGCGCCGGAGATGGCGCAGAGTTTCGCCCAGCCGAGTTAGAGTAAGCGGTGCTTTTATGACGAATGAGACCGAGGAAAGTTTCGTCGCGTTCATTTTGAACCGGAGAAGTGGTGCTGGCTCTCGGATGAGATGTGGACACTGGTGCATTTGACATGACCCGTCCGCTTACGGCAGATGCTTGCCGTAGATCGGAATAAGCCTCGTAAGCCGGGCGATCAAACTTTAGGTTGTCCGAGCCTCGCTGAGGACCTTCCGTATACTGGAACGGAGTATAGATAGGCCGTGGAGGGTTGCTGTTCAAAGGCTCCAAAGGTTGCTTCTGTACATCCGCAGACAGAGGAAATGACGAGGTTCTTGAGAGTCGTTTATCTGGCTCTGGGCCCGAGAGCAGTGCAGACAACTTTGGCTGAAACTGCGAGCCCCTTCGGGCTTGCTTGGCGATATTGGGTCGTCCGCCTGCACTATACTCACTGCCAACATCGTCAACATCATCACCCTCCCCGTCCTCTGTTGCTGCCGTCACAGAGGGGGTTGGATTATCCTCTGATGAGACGGGTATCAGTCCCGTCTCAAAATGGGTTTCATCTTCGTCAAGCCTTGGCAATGGCGACCGAGACACAGAACTAGAAGCCCTGCGAGGCTCTGGGGAGCTCTCGGGCTCATCATGCTCAATATTATAGAGAATCTCTCGGAGTTTCGTCTCCTTGGCCATGAATGCTGTGAAGATCCTGTATCTTTCTTCATCCAAATCTGCCACCGCTTCCTTGCGTAGCATGGCAACATAGCGTTCCAAGGACGATTTGGACCAAGGATCCAGATCTTCGAAGGGGTCTGGCTTTCTGGATGCAGTCTCATTTACAGGTGTTTGAACGTGGGGCACAGGGACGGTTGAGCTTGATCTCAAATGCTCAGCAGGCGGCAGAATTTTTTGCGTCGACTCCGGCTCTTTGGCTGGGATGATCTGGTTAAATTGAGAGAAACTCTGCGGTTGTGATGTCGGGCCCTGGAGCCCGGGTTGAGCTGGTTTAGATGGAGGTGATAATGGGCGAGCCCATGCATCTATCACATTATCAATGCTTTCTGAATGTCCACCAGCAGAGACAGCAGAGCTGTCACTATCCACACGGGTCGGCGGAGGCGGCGTTTGCACCCCGTGAGTTGTGCATGGACTAATGGGAGAATCCGAACTGACATGTCCTGACCCATGGGCACCACAGCTGACACTTGGAATTGTCTCACTTGTATCCGTTCTCGGACGGACGAACTGCGAGGGCTCGTTTGCCGCGGATATGTTGGGCATCCCAGGTGAGATGCCCGACGGTGGTGGGATTATGTCCTGGGGCGGAAAAGTTTGTCTTGGTGGAAACCAAGCTGCGTCATCAAAATCTCCGGGAGTAGGACCAAGATGCTCCCAGTCCGAGGGCGTGCCCGGACCCAAGGCCGATGCGCCTGTGGATGGCGCGTTCGTGTTAATGAAAGGCGCAGGCCGAAATACATAAGACCCAGCCATCGCGGCCGGCCCCGAGCCTTGGGAAAGGAGCGGAGGCCGCTCTGGGTGGCCAACTTGCTGGGTTGGCGCATTTTGAGGGATCTTTGGCGGCGGCGGAGGGACACCGCCGGTTGGGACTTTGGGTGTGTATGGAGACGGAGAAGGGTGAGCGGCTGGGGGTTGGAACCCATGGTAAGGACTGATATTCGCGGCGGGTGACAGCGGTTTCGACTGAACATGGGAGTATGGCTGCTCATTGGTGCTGGAAGGTCGAGGCTATGCGACTGTTAGTTACATCTGACATTCCGCGAACCGTAAAACCCACCGGCAACGGTGGAGCGTGGCTCTGGTTGAACCGCACTCCCCACGTGGTTGTATCCGCACCCGAACCTGTGGGTGACACTCCTTGGATCTGGGGATTTGAGATCGGGCCATACGTAGCCGGCGTGTATGTTGCCGGAGGAGGAGGAGGGGGAGGGGGAGGTGGACCTCCCCCCGGAGGACGTTGCGGAAGTCGCCATTCAGGGTGCGATGGAGGATCGGGACGATTTGACTGGCCGTACATGATAGCTCACGGCAGTGAAATAAAGGGGAAACGAGAAGATATAACAGCTTTTCGAAGGATTCAAGCTGTGCTCGGGGAAGAGGCACGCGGTCAGCACGGTCCCACAATCAACTTCAACTCCAACTTGAGACAACATCTACTTCATCCCCAACATTTGTATAATTTTATACTATAAAGAAGACAAGGTAAGGCATACACGACAGGGACTAGAATCCCATGGTCTACCCCCAGTTTTTATTGTTTTCTCTCTTTTGGCCCCATCTGCTAGATCCTGGGGTCAGCCTTGGACTCCATTGAATCCAACTTTTATACTGGGAGCGAGATGTTAGTATAGCCCGAAGCTCCAGACACCCCTTTGTTTTGAGCTATTGTGGCTTGGCCATATCCGTGCTTCGTCAACGCGTGTTGAATTTTATGTCTTTGTTTGCATATACATGTACTTGCTGTCAGATCCTTTGGGATTGGCCCCCAAAGTGTCCCTTAATTAACGTCGGATTTGAGCTATATTTATCTACTTTTTCTTGTCTAATACCATTTGATTCTCATTTCTTTTTCAACTAAGGCCCGACTTGCGACAAGCATATGACAGTGCTACAACCATATACCGGTTTCGGATCCATGCAGTTGTCCGTGCTTCACAGCCTTAGGCGCGGAAAGGGGACGTATGGAGCATCCAAATCAGACTTCGAACTCCCCATACTACCGCAACCCAGACCGCTTACAGAAGATCTGCTTGGTGGGTTCTTATACAAAGCCGGACCATGACTTGGGTAAATTATCCGCTTATCCGGTGCCAAATTATCCGCTTATCCGTGTAGGACGCGTCGTCCCGACAGTTACTCTAGAGCTGCATAGCCAAATCTGGTGTTGACATTCTCCCCGTGGGACTAACATTGTCAGAAGAGTGAGAGGAATGGCTACCCATGTGCTGGTTCACTCTATGTATTAATACTATATCTATGAGATTCAAATCGGGCAGCTCCAAAATGATTAACATCGGGCTTTTGAAGCTCCCACAAAGTGCAGCTCAGCTAGTTCAGGACATATTCAGAGTATATGGAAAGTAAAAGAGGCAGAAAGGGACCAAGGAGAGGAGAGAGATGGTAGCCTTGTAAGTATAGCTCTCTTATCAGCAATCCTGAAGAAAAAAGTACTCAACGCACAATAGAAGTATACAAACGGAGATAACGTTAACCCTGAAATAAAAGAAGGTTACAAAACCCGAGCCTGCCGGACTTACTGGACATAAGATCCAGATTAATAATTATAAGTTACCCCAAATGATGTGACTTCATTTCCCCGCAGGAGCACTATATAAAGGACTGTTGGTTCCCAATAATCCAAGCTTCCAACAGTATCGTCAGTCAATCCGCATCTTCAATTAAGAATCGCTATGTTTGCCCCAGCTGCAACCCCCAAGTCTCGTCTCGGCCGCTATCGCCTGCTAGCTCCTACAGCCGGAGTCAAGGTGAGCCCGCTATGCCTGGGTGCGATGAACTTTGGTGAAGGCTGGTATGTGCAATGCGAGGATACCATTCGACGTATCGATGGTATACATTCATCAAAGCAAGAGTAAATAGCTAATAATTCAACAGGAAAGAGAGACTCGGCGAATGCGACAAGGAAACCTCCTTCAAGATCCTAGACACATTCTACGAGAACGGAGGAAACTTCATCGACACGTGAATAGCCACCCATTGAATACCAAAAGATGAACTATATAGCTGACCCCCAATCCAGAGCCAACAACTACCAATCAGAAGAGTCAGAAAAATGGCTGGGCGAATGGATGGAAGCCCGCGGCGTGCGCGACCAAATCGTCCTAGCAACGAAGTATACAACTGGTTTCCGCAGTCATGTCCCATCAGAGATCCAGGCGAACTTTGTCGGCAATAATGCCAAGAGTATGAAGTTGTCTCTCGAGGCTAGTTTGAAGAAATTGCGGACTGATTACGTCGATTTGGTATGTGCATGCAAATTATTTGTAGATTCAAAAGGATGAATTGGATCAGAACTGACGAATAACTGATAGTTCTACGTCCACTGGTGGGATTTCAGCACCTCCATTGAGGAAGTAATGACTTCTCTCAACCAATTGGTCGTTTCTGGAAAGGTACTGTACCTCGGTATCAGTGATACACCAGCATGGATTGTCAGCAAGGCGAATCAATGTATGTTGAACACCCTATCCCCAGATCCAATAGATCAAACAATCTACCAACATATATCGATCCAATACTAACAAAAATCAACCCAAAAAGACGCCCGAGACCACGCCCTCCGCCCCTTCTCAGTCTACCAAGGAAAATGGAACGCCGCAACGCGCGATTTCGAACGCGACATAATCCCCATGGCGGCATCAGAAGGAATGGGCCTCGCACCATGGGGCGCAATCGGCGGCGGCGCCTTCAAAACCGAAGCTCAACGCGAAGAACTCTCCAAAACCGGGAACCCAGGACGGCAAGTCCCGCCCAGTGCAACGGATATCGCTGTATCGAAGGTCCTTGAGGCCGTTGCGGCACGGCATAAGACTGTTATCACCAGTGTGGCGCTTGCGTATGTCATGCGCAAGGCGCCGTATGTGGTTCCGATTGTTGGTGGGCGCAAGGTTGAGCATTTGCTTGGGAATATCGAGGCTCTTGGGGTTGATCTTTCCGATGAGGATGTTAGGGAGATTGAGGGGGCGTATGAGTTTGATATTGGGTTCCCTATGAATTTCCTTTTTAGGGGGGAGGTTAAGGAAGCACATCCTGGGAACTCGCAGTTTGTAAATTCTGTTGCTAAGTTTGATTATCCGGATTTGGTTAGGGCTGTTAGGCCTAAGAGGTTGGAGGAGTGAGGCGATGGATGGTGAGGTTGTGGAGTTTGTGGAGGTTGCTTCGAGATCGACTTGAGCAAGACAAACTAACTTCTGCAATGTTCGAGGGCTTGAGATGTTAGATCAAAGACGGTGGAGGTAGCTTTTCAAAACAAATCCATTATATGCATACAGACACGAGGACCAAGTGAGATTTGTAAAGTACAAGGAAGAAGAACAGAGAAAACCCAGCATTCGATATACAGGCCCGTATCTCTAGAACACATTCAAAGCCGGAGATAAAACATGGGAAGAAATACGACGTTCGCTTAAGCAGATGCAGCAGGGGCGGGAGCAGGAGCAGCAGCAGGGGCGCGCACCTGACGGCCGAGCTTCTCCAGCTCGCCGATGATACCGCCACCGGACAAGCTCCACTTCTCGCTCACCCACGAGTCGTTGACGGACTCACGAAGCAGACCGCTGCGAGCGAAGTACTCCATGAAACCACGGGCTTCTTCGCGAGTCAGGCCACTGAGCATCTGCAGCTCGAGCGAGCTCTGGGCCTTGGCGAACATTTCCAAGACACGAGGGTCGGTGACAGTGTAGGCTGCTGGTTGGGGGTACTCGGGGGAAGAGGGGCTGATGCCTGCCTGGCGGGCCTTCAGCTGGTCCAGGGCGACATTGAAATCCTTGGGGTTGGGGTTGTTGGAGGATGAGGTGGCGTAAAGGAGGAGACCGCCGTTCTTCAGAGAATCACCCTCCTTCAGCAGGGAGAGGAAGTGATTCACGAAGACGAGGTCGTGGGCGTGGATGGGCTTGTAGTCAACATCGCGGTAGGCGCTGTTGGTCATCCAGTGGGCCAAGCCATCCACGGCAACGAGCATAGGAGGGCGAGGCTTGAAGTCCTTCTCCAATCCCGGGGCCGGGGCGGTGGCTGTAAGCTCCTTCCACAAAGCCTGGAAGACTGCCCAGGAGACAGCAGGGTCGTGGAATCCAAGTCTAGCTAGGTCCTCGAGGGACGATTTAGGTGTCAGGGACTTAAATTCCGGGTGCTGTTGGGAGATCTTGAGGCTGGACAGGAGCTCCGAGTTGGCAGCGACGGTACGCGTCAACAGAGCCGAAGTCGCGCCAGGCTGAACATATTGTGGCGGGTTGGTGCCTTCAATGGCGGCGTAAGCGGTGTCACCGGAGACGAGTTCCCGAGCTAAAAAGGAATAAGTTAGCAGCTGTTCAATTGAACGAACATCAATGCATATTGCGCAGAACTTACCGTCAGGAATGGTGATAACAGCCCAGTTCTTCAGAAAACCCATAGTCATAGCCTGGAGGAGATGAACCGTCTTGCCAGATCCCTTCATACCGGTGATGATTTTCTTCACCACCTTGCCCTTATGGGCACCCTCGCCCTCCCCAGAGATCTTCTCAAACAAACGACCCATCTCAATGGTATCGCGACGGAGGACAGTTCCAGGTCGGCGGAATAGCGACCAGCCCTGCTTAGGCTTGAACGCTTGCACGGCTCTCAATTGATCGATCATGGTGGCAGGCAGGCCAAGGACACTACCACGGAGACGGGAATCAACCATAGTCTCCGCGGAGAGGTCCTGCATACCCTCAATCTCAAGGGCATTGGGGTTGCTAAGGACAATGCGTTTCCGCAAAGCCTTGCGCTCGCCGACGGCTGGTGGACGCGCAGTAGCAGTGATCTTCTTCTTCTTTCTCCGCAAGCTAGTCGACTGTCTGTGCTTCATGACAGTCAAGCTATTACCCTTCTTCTTGGCCGGCTGGGCATATCGCAACGCAGTAGAGTGGAAGGAGGCGGTCGAAATCCGGGGCGTCGGAGGGAGGAGTGCTTGCGGCGGTTGGCGAAGCCTCGAGAGGCAGTTCCAGCACCACGAGGAAGCCATAATGGTTGTCAGCTACGCACCAGCACAGCTAGCGAGTGGACAACCAGGGCAGAAATTGAGAACGTGGATGGGAATTGAGTGCAGTGAACAGCAACAGTCCGTGATAATTTGATGCGAAATCCGCTTCTCCCAACGGGGAAAGGCGGTCGGACCGTCTTAGTCATGGCAGAAAAGTAAAGCGGCTCTCCAACTGATAACCAACATTTTTTTCACTGATAATACTCGCTTTCTCATTCACCACCGAAACTCACCAACAAGTTTCGCAATGACTGACGTTGAGATGACCGATTCCGCCGTGGCTGCGTCCACTACCAAGGGCGAGAGACTGTACGATTCCCCCTCATCCAGATACCAAACAACGGACCCGAAAGAAGAAAAAAAAAACCTCGAACCACCAAGCTAACATATAAATCACAGCCCCATCACCGTCTCCAAGCCAACCCCCTACACATTCGACCTCGGCCACCTCCTAGCAGACGACCCCAACCCACTCGAACTCCCCGCCGGCCAAAGCCTAAACGCAAGCCTGAAAGCCACAGCCCGCGACGGCGTCCAGAGCTTGCTAAACCAACTCTTGACAACATGCCCAATCACCTCATCCGTGAAAGACGGTGTGCTCCTGACCCTCCCAGCACCAAACATCATGCTGCCCCGGCACAAGCCCCTGCCAACACCCAAAGCCCCCACGAAATGGGAGCTGTTCGCGCGCAAGAAGGGCATCGGCAAATACAACCAGAAGCCTGGCGCTGCAGGCATGGACAAGGAGCGCCGCCGGAAGCTACAGTACGATGAGGCGAGCGGCGAGTGGGTGCCCCGCTGGGGATATAAGGGCAAGAACAAGGACGACGAGAACCAGTGGCTTGTTGAGGTTGATGAGAAGAAGTGGAAGAAGGAAGAGGATGCTGCTGCGAAGGGTGGTTCTATTCGTGGTATGTCGCGTACTGAACGGAAGGAGAGGATTAAGCGTAATGAGCGTAAGATGCGATCTAATGAGAAAAGGTCGAACAAGGGTGGTAACTAAGTGGGGAGTGTTTGAACCCTCTTTCTTTTTACTTGTGTTGCATTGCATTACTTCGCTAGCTCCCTTGTGGGCTCTGCTCTGCTCTGCTCTTGTTCTACTCTGGATCTGATCTCTGGCGTTGGGGTTGGGAGTCGACGTTTTATTTTCTTTTCTCATGTATTGTGGACATATACCGTGATTCATCAAAAGCACTTTCAGAATTGCATTTGTCAATATTTGCCATTACCCATTTTCCCATTACCCATTACCGTTTTCTCTTCTACGTGGTTGTGGATATGTGTTGTACGTTGAAAAGATCTTCGATGATCGAACCGAAAAGTGCCTGCCTGCCCACTTCCGCTATTGTACAAAATCCCTGTCACGAGAACGCCAAATAAACAGTAAATAAAAAAATAGAGAAAAGCAATAAAGAAAAAGACAGGCCATTGCAAATCAGATCAACAGAAAAGACACGAAACAAGTAGGCGAAGATAGAAAGTGTCAACCGCAGAGGGGAATCTGTAGATGTCGCAACATCAAAGCACAAGCACAAAGGAATTATTGCACTTCCAAAGAGATGAAGAGGGAACAAAAAGATGGGGAGTCGAACAGACAAACAAGAACAACAACAAGAAAGCAGACAAAACGCACATGTAGTCAAAACCGCTGACCATTCGCCAATGTCAGAGTAGATACCAAGAGAAAAGAAGATGTACATATGGAAGAAGAGAATGAATATGAGAATGATGGGAACCGCGATCCCGAGACGCCAGGATATGCACTCCGACAATGCTGGGTTGAGATCAAATTACGATGAGAATGCCAAGATGCGAAGTCGAGGGCGATGGTATCGTATGCGAGAGAGGCCGAGAGACGATGGAGAGATGAGGTCAAGGCAGAAGCAGAACTTGTTTCGTCCTATCTGATCCTGCAGATATGACGAAGGTCGGACCAGCCAGAAGAGGAAGAGCAGGAACCAGTTTGTATAATGAGATCCTGTGGTTCAAGATAAGTATCTTCGAAGGGTGCCTTCTTTTAGATTTTGATGGGAGAGAGTGGAGGACCGAGTTCGGGAAGCTGAGATACGCTGCGGGTGTGCGACGTTTGAATGTCCTTAGGTCGAGACTTTCGGCTTCGGGAGGTTGGCGGACGAGGTGGCTCGTCTCCAGCGCTGCTGGAGGATGAGATGGCCCGTTCATGGCTGAGGTTGGAGCTGACCTCCTCTCTGGTCTGGGCAGCTTCCTGCTCCTCTGATGCCCGCTGTTCCCGCTCGTCCATCACCTTTTCTTTCTCGAGGTACTCCTTCTCCGTCCAGCATCCTTGCCAACAGTTCTTCCAGTCACAGACCAAGAACTGGAAGCAGAATGCATCGATTTTCATGCAGGGCTGGAAACAGATGCATAGGTTGCGGTAGTCCATCTTGTTCTGATCGACATAAGAGTGGAGAAGGTTGAGATGACAGGTGATGGCGAACAGAAGGTAGTAGTGGTAGGGTGGGAGTTTGGAAAGTTCGTCTTTCAAGAGCTGCGGTGCGGTAGTAGCGCCTTCGCACTTTTGAGCAATCATGTTTTGCGTCGACTTCGGGAAGAGCTCATCTGGCAGCTCACGAAGCCAAGCCTTGAACAGTGATCCAATGGTGTTGATATCGTAGAGGTCAGGAACTTCGAAAAGATCAATATCGAATTCCGTGTCGAAACGTCTTTGCCAATGCTTCACTTCCCTGCCACTGCCAGGGACACGGTAAAGTCCCTCTTCTTCGCATCCCTTGAAGTTCAGATAATCAATGGAACGGTATGGCAAGGCGGGCATCCAGAACTCGGTCTTGTCCCGGCAGTCTTCGAGCTTCTTTGCAATGCGAGTCTTTCTCGCTTGCTCAATAAGCGGAAGGTTGATGACTGAGCACATGTATGCGTCGTCGTTAATCATTTCCCGCTCGTTGGTACTACCACTGCGAGTGATCTTGCCAAAGAAGCCCTTTCCTGCCTTTCCAATACGGTCTGCAGCACCACTGGAAGTCTGCTTGAGGTTGCTGAAAAGAGTAGCCGAGGCGCCAGACACTTGGCTCAATGAGCCAGAGGCAACCATGTTCCCATGACTCCTCTCCTTTCGTAAAGAGTTTGTGTCTGCCTGGCGCT